ATACTGTGATTAGGAGCGCCCTCGATTATATGCCAGACGGAAACCTCAATATGAACAATTTAAAAATTTGCAATGTCCAAAAGCCTAGCGACGACAGTGACGTGGCTAACAAAAAATATGTGGATGAGACAAGTAATTTATTAAAAATTGCATTGAGAAAGATTGTTGGACAGAAACTCGAAGCGAACACGAAAAGATTACAAATTGAAGACAAAACTAATTTCTCGCGTCTTGAAGAACAACTGAAAATGAGTAGCACTACACTGGAAAATGAAATTAGGCAGTTTCGCGAAGTTTTCCACCAAAAGCTAAGCGAAATGAGCGCAAAGAAAGATTTGGAAAAGCACATGACAAAAGTCGCCGTTTTGTCACAGCAATTTCATGATATTGTTACCAAAATGGAGCGACTTACGAACGAAAATGAGAATATAATGAAGGTATTGAAACAAAGGGTTTTAAATCCTCCACCGCAACCGAACACACATTATGAATAAAGAGAAGGTACAACTGGTTCGAGAACTGCACAAGCCGGCACGCAGAAATTATGCTCGCCGCAGGACTATAATACGAGGGATGGACGACCTGTGTCAAGCGGATCTGGCCCAATTAGATCCCTACAGCAAACAAAACAGAAATTTTAAATTCGTGCTGGTTGTGATAGACTGTTTCTCAAAATATGTATGGTATCGCCCGCTGAAAACCAAAACCGGGCTCGAAGTCGCCAAGGCGTTTTCCAAAATTCTCAAGGACGGACGGCACCCTCAAAACTTGCAAACGGATCTCGGTAAAGAATTTTACAACGACACGTTTCTGAAACTTGTGGATAAGCATAAAATTAACCACTATAGTACGTATAGCATAAAAAAGGCCTCAATTGTCGAACGGGTGATACGTACCCTCAAAGAGAAATTGTTTCGACATTTTTCTTTACGCGGGACGTACAAATGGATCGATGTGCTCGCCTCTATCGTTGAAGAATACAATAACACAAAACACAGAACGAGGGTACGAAACCCATCGATCTGAGTAATAGCAACGAAAAGAGAATTTTGAAAACCGCGTATAGTAGCATAAAAATATTCGGTCCTCGTAAACTTAAAGTCGGCGACATCGTTAGAATCAGCAAAGTCAAGCACGTGTTTAACAAAGTTTATATACCGAATTGGACCACGGAATTGTTTAAAATTATTAAAGTACGGGTTACTAACCCCGTAACGTATTTGCTTCAAGATATGCAGGGTAAACCCATAATGGGAGGATTTTATGAAGAAGAATTGCAGAAGACAGTTAACCCGGACTTATATCTCGTCGAAAAGGTGTTGCGCATAAATTTAGTCTCGACTTAGCAAGTTCTGACATAAATACGTCTATGTGATGGCTCAAGAGCAAATTGTGACATCCAACGAATTGTATAATTTATTAGAAAATTTCGAGTTGCAATTTCTTCCATCAGAAGTGCTCCCGTCCAGCTTTCTTTCCTGTAGAGCAACAAACCCAAAAATCTGCGACAGAACGAAGACAGAGTGCGTCGGTCGTATCCCGCAAGAAGAAGAAAACTACCACAACCGAAGCGTTTGCAGCTCCAACGTCATCCGCTGATTGGCTTGAAGTGTTCACGGACGGTAGAGAAAAAAGTGTCATTTGTGAGGCCTTCAATTTAAAAAGAAACTTGGCGTCTCAGTTGGCGGGATTAGAGTGCAATATCAACGAAATTGAAACACAAATTGCGCTTTTTAATACAGACTTGCAAGTGGCGCGGCTGCAAGCGCAAGAGTGCAAAAGAAAACTAGAACAATTTAATAATTTAGCATTTAACGAAATTGTAAAGTAGTAATAATGTATATAATAAATAAATTATATAATAAATAAATTATACAATAACAAACTTCTGTATAATTATTATGCGGTGTTGTGGTGGTGGTAAAAAAGAAAATAGCGTCTAAATATATACATGTTTATTTTTGTCGCAATACAATGGAATACAATCAATACATAAAAGCCTTATCTACAGTTATATATTTTATAATAAAACCACAGTATTAATAGTTCAATCTGCTATGAGAAAAGCGTAACTTTGTTCCATATTTCCCCTCACCGCGAAGCATTAAATTACATTCATGTTCAGTTTCTACAGTGAACAAAACTTCTTCAAAGCAGCTTTGACACCAAAATTGTTTATCGTGATATACATCATTCAAATTATTTGTATTCAGCTGTAAATGATAGTGATCCAATAGAAGTCTAAAATTTTTCTTTTAAAATTTTTGAACTAGTTGAAATATAAAGTGGCAAGATTTACGAACTAAAATTTCCGAATATTTTATCCTGCAATAACTGACCTATGAACAGTAAGCGGATTCTCCGTCAAAATCAATGGTTGGAGTTGCCAAAATGCTATTTCTGTAAGACGATCCAAATCTCTTATTCAACAGAATGAATTCTAAATTCAATAAAGAATTGCCATCAGACTGGAGCGCTAGTTGATTAAGGTAAGGTAACTACCGAACCCGTTAAAATTTTGAAAGTGTACATTTTCGACCTTAACCCCACATAATGACTAATGATGGTGCCATTAGTCTCATCCTTCATCAACCCCAGAACCTTTTTGTTGATTTGCGGTATATTATAGGGATTGTCATTAGGATAATCAGACGTGTCAAATTTTGTTAAATCTGCCTTAATAACGCTTTCATATGCGTCATAACATTTGATATTATAAATGAAACTGTCCGTATCCATGTATTGAATTTTACATTTTTCGGGACCCAAATTTGGAAGCATGTAATTATAATGAAACTCGTATAAATCCAATATGGACATTCCAATATAAAGTGGTTTATTAAAGCAAAACTCCGATTTTTTTAATTCTATAAGCAACAAATTGTTATCAATTATGGTTCTACTGTGAAATCTAGGACTAGAAACTAAATTTTTCGCACCGTAGCGACCATCCCAAGCTTTAACAAATTTAACAATACGATGCTTGAGAATGTTTTCCATTTTTTTACAGTAAGCGGCATTATTAAACAATTTGTATAAATTTATACCAAATTTTGTCTTTTCTTGGGTTCTTAATTTATTATTATGATCGATACAACATTTCAACCAAGGAGATTGGTTAAATTTTAATATTTTGTGAATTTTCTTTAGTACGAGACCGTTTTTGAGAGCCTGTTTTAAATTGCGATAGTGTATGACATATTTTCCTTTATTATACAAAGTAGTCATTAGTTTTGGTAAGTTTGGATTGGGGGGCACTCGATGTTTGGCACAAAATCGGAAATCTCTATGTGTGTCATGTAATTTCTGCGGGTATTCCAGGTCTACCTCTAGAATATATCCTTGGGAAGATTCTTGATGAGACATCCAGTCGAATCCTCCGTAAGGAAGAGGCTCGCACATGGCCTTGCCATAGAGGTTATTGACGTCAAAGTACATGATATAGGAATCATCCCTGGATGAATAGTAGTTGGGCATATTGTTGGCCCCCGCATATCTACCAACACACACCGAAATTCCACCTCGTATAGCCCGCTCGATAAACATAATTTGGTCAATGTCGCGCAAAAGTTCTAAATGACATTTTGTGAATCTAAGCATGCAATCCCATGTATACCCGGGCAAATTGTCTATATGGTCGATGTAATCGTAACAAAAAATGCCTTTTTGGGACAGTAAATTTAATTTTGATTCGTCCGGATCGGAAAATTCTTTTCTTAAAATATATAGTTCATTTTTATCCATACTGGAAACTAAATTATCCAGAGATGCTCCCAAAAATCTAAACGAATCTATAAATCTAAATTTTATGTTATAATCAGGTTCGAAATATGTAAAAGAGATGTATTTTTCTTTATTGACCGGAACTATGGATACATAGCTTTTTTTTGCTAAAACCGGAAGCAGGAAGTGGCTATCGTATCCAGAAAGGTTCTGGAATACTACGGGCACTACAAATACTTTTTTTAAATTTAAATTACAAGTCTGATGGGCAAAACCTCTAAATTTGCCAGTAAAATGATCATGGTCACGAACAATAACATCTTCTTTTAAAAAAGGCTTTTCACAAATATGACAATGGCTCGACCTTTGATCTAAACTTATTTCACTATCCATCGATATAATATCCATAAATTTTGAACGAACAAATCTTGATAAATTAGATATTTCCTCCACGAACCAATCAATACAATCTAGACCACGATAACTTTTGAAAAATGATATTGAATCATCATAACAACATTTAAAGTAATATGCAGCACTGTAAGCTTCGTGCTTTTGATATTTCGAGGTTTTATCTGAAATTTTCAAATTTACTTATCTCAATTGACTCTCAAAATCGGCGTAAATTACAAACGGAGTCGTTTGTTTATATATATGGTTTCGAAATTCAACATGATCATATTTAGGAAAAGACACTTTATACTCATTGAAACTGGAACACATTGTTTTGTGGTCATGTAGACGAGTTTCGTTATTGAAATAATTCAAACACCTATCGCAAATGTATTTCTTGTGATTATAATTACTGAGCTGTGAGGAAACTAATCGAGACAAATTTTTAATGTAACAATAGTGATATTTTATTTCTTCATGATCATTATCTAGCGGATCAGGATCAAAATCATTAACTTTTGGATAATATTTATTTTGTATTAACAACAAATTTGAATATTTTTTGCGTTTTCCTTTTGTTAATCGTGCAGGTAGCACGGAATAAAAACTAGTTTTTTCATTTTTATTATACTCTAAGATATAAACATTTATGGAAATATCATTGTCTTTTTCAAATTTGCCTATTTTATTCATTTCCATAGGTGTTTGTAAATTTTCAGTTTTCAAAACACTTTTGTAGTATGGATATGAGGAAGGTAAATACTGACGAAAACGTGCTGGAAAGAGTCCGCATACAACCGACCAATAAAAACACGCTTGATCCTCATTTCTAATATTAATACAAGCCCTTTTATTCGCAATTTCTTTAGGCAACTCAACGAAGGATGACCCATTTCAAATTTATTAATGTTAATCTCTAAATAAATAATATTATTTAAAGCCCACCCGGAATCACGTTCCTGAAACTCTGACATTTGATTTAAAATTTTATCTTGCACATTTTCAACAAACCATTCATTCAATTCTGTTCCTAAATCAACCACAGCATTTCCGGTACTCAGATATTTAACATCAACTTCGCCTTGGACATCATTTTTTGCCTTAATAAATTCACCGCAAAATGTGGTATTTACTTTCAGCAATAAAAATTTCTTTAAAATTTGACTAATTTTTTGTTGAAAAATTGGACGACAATCGTTTAAAAATTGAATTAAATCTTTATGAAGTAAATTAATTATGACACCGGTCTGAACTCTTCCCTGGAAACACGACGCTACCGATTCCCATACAACCATTTCATTTGTGTTTGTCTCGCGGCTGCTACGTTGTAATCCCAATCCAAAATGCTTATGTTGATAATTAAGAATAATTTTTCTAATAGCTTTCAGATGTTGAATTGTAGTTTGTAATTTTCTTTTTAACCCAATAGATAAATCCTTTTCGTTAGAAACGATTTGGTTGCAAGATTCAATATTTTTATTTAGTCTCCTAAGCCACACATCACTATCTCTAAGAGTGAACTTGTCGGAAATATGCTTTTTTAATTTTTGTAAGGTTAAAACTAAGATTTGCGCTCTATGAATGATCTGCCTTACGCGCATCGTGGTTTATTAAATATATAACAGTAAATAAGACTTACCCTGTATAATATGTTGATTAATTTTGAATTATTTTGAATTTTTTTAAAGAGTTGGGCTTTCCAATATCTTTGGATCCCTCGTAGACCAGTTTGTACTGCCCCGACGCAAAGTATTCTAGTCTCGGACGGAAAGCTTCTGTCACGCGAGTAGGAAGAAATACTACGGAACTTTCTAATTGCAGCAACACGGAATTGCCAAATTTTGTATTAACAATTTTGGCTGTAGTAATTTGAAACGGAACGCCAATCGGCTGCTCAAAATCACCTTCTGCAAGACAGGTTTGATTCAGTTGACTTAAGTCCATCTATAAATTATTATTAATTATTATTTTATCTCAAAATTAAAAGAATAAAAAAACTTACGCTTAAGATTGCTGCTATTCTAGTTGCGGTTACGGGTTGAGAGTACTAAGATGATCTTTAAGACCTTTATAAAATAATAACAAATGTTAAAGAATTAAAATAAAACAATAAAAAAGGTACTTACTGCTTTTTGGTGCGAACACCAAACCACTAAGTTAGCTTCCACGTTGCACGAATAATACCAAAAACAACTACTGACAAAACAGAGAAAAATGAGATGTATTTATACGGTGCGAGAATACTTTCTAAAAGTCAACAAACAAAGACACCTCCACATGCGTTGCAACAAATTTTTCCCATTACGTTAATCCCACGGAGCAAATATAAACGGGCAATTAATTAATATTCTCAAAAAGCAAAACAACTTGATATTTAGACTCGGCGCGTTTTGAAATTCCACATCCCATACGGAGATTGTAAAAAATGAAAGCAAGTTGGCCTTGATCTTTAGTCCAACGTCCGAAGCGGTTGCGTCCCAAGTCATTCCCGTCTGAAAGCATGTTGACCCTGAGACTCCTACCTGCACGGTTGTCTGGCGACAACATCGCGTCTATTGAAATCGGCGTTGGTGCTTGTGGGTAGAAGACCTTTCGACTTTGAAGTTACTTTTCTATTTTTAATTCAACCATGGAAGGGAGTACATGTGTATAAATACGTTGCATGTGTATTATAGACTATATTCAGTGCAATGAATACAGAAGTGCGATGTCCATTTCCCTACGACCCTACAACTGGTAAGTTTTATATTTTAATTACCTTTATACAGTGCGTGTCTTTTTTTGTGGGTTTCAGTTTGGGTTATCACTTTTTTGGTTAGTTTCTACCTGTTTTTAAAATATCATACTCATCTTTTTTACTTTGCATAATAACCGAATTAAATTGAGTGTTTTTAATATCTTTTAAATGACAGTGAATTGAAACGTGAATTTTGGTATGTGTGTATAACTTAAAAAACAATTTTTAAAATTATTTGATAACCCCACTTTTTGAAAATTTTGTTGAAAAAATGTGTGTTTTACATGAACCGCTACATATCATACTTTGTTTTGTTCTAGAAAAAATCGCGATTTGTCCGTATGACAAGTCGCAAATCACACAAAGAGTACCGGGGGTTACAATTCCCGGTACGACATACAACGACAAGGGAACATCAGCAGCAGCAGGAGCAACCCGGTGGATCAAAAGAAACAAAGGAGCAGCAGGAGTACCCGGGTGGGTGGTCGACAGAGTGGGACGGCGAGGAGTGCACTTCGTATTTAGATTTCCTCCGGGAACGGGAAGAAGAACAACTCAAGCAATAGGAACAATGGGATGGTCGACTGAATCGACACAAAAAGAAGAAGAAATTCCTCGCCAGACCAATTTTATAAATAAAATAAAATAAAATATATTAAAATTCAAGTTTATTTAATTATCCTCCCGATCCCCCGCGTCACCGCGCCGCAACGTCACCGCCCTCTACCAAGGGGGCCTATGACGGTCGGAGCGCGCGACATCTAGCAGCGGCGGGCGGAACCGGGGCAAAACAGGACGCTACACAAGGTGGGTGGGGGGCGGAGCACACTTTGGTAGCCAGGGGGGACACTAGGACGGGCCGGACCGCCACGCGCGGGGGGCCTCCGCTGCGAGGGGGTTAGGAAATTGAGGTTATGTGCGGTTTTTACTTGTTATATCGGTACTATATATCTACTGGTAACTTTACAAACATCAGCTAACGAAGGAGAAAATGAATCGCAATATAATATTTGTAGTACTGCTATTTTACCGACGGCCATCAAAAATAAAAGAATATTACCACGAAGGTTGTCCTTTAATTCGACTCCGATTAGTGTATATGAGTAGCCAAGTGAAATGAAGCAATCGATTATTCATGAAACAAATTCGGATTTCGAGGGTAATGAGGATGACAATAATGATAAAGAATCTCCCAGTCGACTGAAAGACATCGAAAATGCATCTTTTATCGACTATTTGGAACAGTGCGATCCGTTACCCCGCAAATATATACAAAATATATACGAGGATAAAATAGAGAATTTGATCACAAGTACGGTGTCAGAATGGACAAAACTACGGGATTTTAACAAGTACCAAAGCACCAAAAAATTTACAAACCGATGCCGGTATCGAATTTTTCAACAAAAATTTTAAATGGTTAATGATAACATATAATATGAATCACTAAAACGACGTTATAGATTTATATAATTTGCGCTGTCCCAATTTAAAAATGTTGAAGAGAGATAATTACAACAATTCTTTTCATTGTAAAAACCCCTTCTACAACCACAATACTTGTGCCAAAGAAAATTTACTCTTACTAAGAAACTGGTATATAAATAAAAGCTATATTAAAAAATAAACTAGTTTTTTCTTTTCGGGTTTTGAATTTGAAATAAAAAAGGTATAGTTCAATAAATATAACTTTATTTTATTACTTCTAAATTATATAACGGTATATTTTTGAGAATCGTATTCTTCGGCGTCGTCATCATATAGCTCTGGGAAAGATGTCGAGGCCGAAGCGTGACGAAAAATTCGGGTTTCAAGAAGTTTAATTTTCTTTTTGTGGGGCTCTTCGTCGTCTGCCCCGTCGCCATCACAATCGCTTCTGCCGATAATTTATCCGGCATCTGCTTCTTATTGGTAAATTCAAAAATGAACGTAGAAGGAATATTCATTTTTTGCATGCTGTACGTATAGTTGAATTAATTGAGTGTGCAATTATTGTGAAAATTTCGCTATATTTACATTTATGCGGAACCAGAAAAATGCAATTTATCACAAAGTAGCGAACCTCGGGGTTACCGCACGTCACTATTCAATTTAAGTATAAATATAACGGACTGAAGACATATGTGTATTCTGGTATTAACTTCACATCAACTTCAAGATGTCAATGAATAAAGGAGGTCCTGCCATTCCGCTGCTGGTAAGTTTTTGAAGAAAAGTTTGTAATTCTGGTAAGACTTAACTGTCTGTCCCTTCGATAAATCCCGAGTGCTGCTTAAGCGGCGCCTCACAAACCACGTCTGGAAAAAACACCCCCAAGTGTGACGGCGTGGCAGGAGCAGCAGCTAAAGCAACATGAAGAAAATTTCAATAAAAAAATTGAAGAGGACCGGCGGTGGTACGCCCAGCAAGCCCAAAGGCAACAAACATCAAATTGTTCTTGGGAAACAACCGCTGGCCCGATGGGATCGTCCACAGCAGTTAGGTGGGATACCAACAATTGTAGATCATATTTAGATTTAAAAAAAAAAATAAAAAATATTATAGAAAAATGTTTTACATTTTACACAGACCCAATCCTCGATAATCATAAAATTCGGCAGAAATTATTAGAAAAGTTATCTGTAAAAGTAGCTAACCTAGGGGTCACAATCACTTATCAATTTTAGTATAAATATAACAAATGATATTTTAAAAAAATATCTAAAAATCCTATCGACGTTTGACAGAAAAGTTCTTTCTAAAGTCGAGTCAAATTTAGGACTTATAAAAACATTTAGGGGACAATGTAAATAAGGAAAAAAGATAAGAAGAATAATCAACTAAGATGGGTGGATATCGAATGATAATTCAATAGACGATTTAAAACCGGAGCTATAGTAAATTTAAGTCTTAAAGATCCAGTAATATTTTTTAACAAAGCGTTTAAGTCATTTTCATATCATATATATAAAGTGGCGAAACTGACATCAAACATTTCTCTACTAAAAATCGGGTGATCGATCATAAATCGAACCTAAAGGAGTTTTATAATGAGTACATGAAGAACAATGTCTTAACAAAATTGGAAGATTTTGCAGAAAGAGATTAAGGCTTGGCTCTTTCTCGAATCTTGCAAGTAAAAGTAAATATTAATAATTACACTACTATAAATACTGGTTTTTCGACCTATATTCCGATGCCAAAATTTTAATTTTTTTAAATCTTTTAAATATTCAAGAGAATATTGTTTTCTTTGGTCTATCGTAGCGGCAGTGCATCCTTGTCGAACAAATCAAAATCCACGTAGAACATCGTCGTATCCTCATTTCAATGAAATCTTAAAATCTGACGACATAGTTGTAGAAGATCCGAACTAAAAACGATCTTCACCGAGCTGATAATAGAATGAATCATATTTTATAACAAATTTAGTATGTTAGAAAATATGTTAAAAATGGGTTGCCTAAAAAAATCCTGGACAGACAATTTTTAATTATTTAAATAAAATGATTTTTTTTTTTATTTTTGCAACATCAAGATAATAAGAAAATTTTTACCCTGACTTAAAGTATGAAACGTATAGAATGTGCAGTCGTTGGGTTGCCTATTATTTACCTGGACAAACTACTCGGTTGTCAGGTATAAACAGGTATGTCGATGCCAGTTACCTTCACTCGATTGGATAATAGAAAAAATTTTATATCAATATAAGCGTTGTTTTATTGCGAACACGGTGATATAGGGTTGTCTGCAAAAAACTTGGTCCTAATAGGGGTTTGCGAATTTTAAAGATTTTAATTTTAACGCGATTGGAAATGTGTGACAGAGAGATCCGAGTTGAGTATAGCGTGTAATAATAAAGGACACAACATGGCAGTCGCATGTAATGGGACCTCGAATATCAGAAAGTGCGCATGCTCAGTAGTCATATGACAGAGAATGACAGCGATACTCTAGTAAACAGTAAGCGTCATTTTGGAGTAGCAACACGTGTTATTTTGTATCGTTGTGATAAAAAATGAGTAAAAAGTGTTTTTTGTGTGGTTCGGACAATTCTTTAATTGATTTTACTAATGAAACTTTCAAAAATTGCTTGTTAAAGTTAGCTTTTCGTAAAAAAAAAAACTTTAAATATCATAACATTGAACTAACTGAAGCAGTTCTCGATTTTGTTGGTTACCACACCACGTGTTACAAAAAAGTAACTGTTTTAGGCAATAAATACAATGAAGAATTTGAAGTTTTTTGTACAGAGTATGCAGTAAGTATATAGTATATTATTCTTTCAATTATTATCTAATACAATTAGAAATCGTATAGTTTTGACGTTCGTTGAATATTTATTTTTATCTAACGAGCAATCATTTCTATCAAATTCATTGTCTAAAAAACTATTTTTTTGAAAGATCTCTCGCTCGTTTTTTTCTAGTTTCTATTTTCTTTCAGTTTTTATTACTTTTCTTAATGATTTTCTCGAATAAAATTTGACAAAAAAAGTATTATTGATATAAATACAGTTTTCCATAAAAAGAAAATTTCAAATATCAACGTTATATACAAAAAATTGCTTCTAGAAGCAGATCAATACTTCTATTGCTGATGAAGGTACAGAAAGCCTACATTCTAGTGTCCATTCTAGTGAAGCAGCTACTAAGGGTGAAGAAA